CTGTAAGTTAGTCATAAAGTCATATAGCATGGAAACAGACCCTTCTGTCCAACTAGTCCACACCGATCATGTTCCCAAACTAAACTAGATCCACTTGCCTGCGTTTAGCCCATATCTCACAAACCTTTCTTATTCATATACTTGTCCAAATGTCTTTTAAACATTGTAACTGTACCTACATCCACCACTTCCACTGGTAGTTCATTCCACACATGAATCACTCTCTGTATAAAAATGTTGCCCCTCATATCCTTTTTAAAACTTTCTTCCCTCCCCTTTAAAATTATGGTCTCTATTTTTGAAATACCCTACCCTCTAGAAAAGACCCTTGTTATTCATCTTATCTGTGCCCCTCATGATTTTATAAATCTCAATAAGGTCACCCTCAATCTCCTCTGCTCCAGTGAACAAAGTCCCAGCCTATTTTTGTAACTTAAACCCTTCAGTACCAGCAACATCCTGGTAAGTCTTTTCTGAAACCTCACCAATTTAATAATATCCTTCCTATAGCAGGGTGACCAGAATTGTACACAATACTCCAGAATAGGCCTCACTAACAACCTCAACATGATGTCCCTAGTCCTATACTCAAAGGTCTGAGTAATGAAGGCAAGTGTGCTGAACACTTTCTTAACCACCCTGTCTACCTGTGACACAAATTTCAAAGAATTATGCACCTGAATCCCTACGTCTCTCTGTTCTACAACACTACCAAGGGCCCTACCATTAATCTACAAATCGTTTGTTTCACCAAAATGCAATACCTCTCATTTATTCAAATTAAAGTCCATCTGCCACTCCTCAGCCCATTGACCCAATTGATCAAAATCTCTTTGTAACTAAGATAACCTTCTTCACTGTCCACTTTACCACCAATTTTGGTGTCATCTGCAAACTTACTAAACATGCCTTCAATATTCCCATCCAAATCGTTTATGTAAATGATAAACAAAAGTGGACCCAGTACCTATCCCTTTGAACATCGCTGGTCACAGACTTCCAGTCTGAAAAATACCCTCCACCACCACCCTCTGCCTCCTACTGTCAAGCCATTTTTGTATCCAACTGACAAGCTCAACCTGAATCCCATGTGATCTAACTTTACTGATTAGTCTACTATGTAGAACCTTCTCAAAGTCTTTAATAAAGTCCATGTAAACAACTTCTACCACACTGCCTTCATCAATCTTTTTGGTTACATCTTCAAAAAAACTCAATCAAATTCGCGAGACATGATTTCCATCACACAAAACCATGTTGACTATCCCTAATCAGTTCTTGCCTCTCCAAATGCACGTAAATTCTATCTCTCAGAATCACCTCCACCAATGTCAAGCTCACAGGTCTATCGTTCCCAGGCTTCTCCTTACAGTCTTTCTTAAATAAAGGCACAACATTAGCCACACCCCGGTCCTCTAACACCTCACCTGTGGTTATAGAAGATACAAATATTTCTGCTAGGGTCCCGATAATTTCTTCCCTAACTTCCAACAATGTCCTGGGATACACTTGATCAGATCCCACAGATTTGTCCACCTTTATGTTTTCTAAGACCTCGAGCACTTCCTTTTCTGTAATGTGAACTGTTTTCTCTAGTCTCTATTTCTTTCTCCAAAGTAAAAACTGACATGAAATATTCATTCAGTATCTCTCCCATTTCCTGAGGTTCATACATAGATGACCACTTTGATCTTTAAGGGGCTCTATTCTCTGTCTAGTTTCTCTTTTGCTCTTAATGTATTTGTAGAATCTCTTTGGATTATCGTAAACCTTATCTACCAAGGCTGTCTCATATCCACTCTTTGCCCTCCTGATTTCCCTCTTAAGGATGCCCTTACACTCTTTAAACTCTTCAAGAGATGCATTTACTCCAAGTTGACTACATCTAATATATGATTCTTTCTTATTCTTAACTAAAACCTCAATACCTTTATTCATCCATTGTTCCCTACACTTACCGGCCTTAACCTTCTCTCTAATAGGAACGTAATGCCTCTGAACTCTCATAATCTCACTTTTGAAAGCCTCCCACTTGTCAGTTGTCCCTTTACTTGTGAACAGTCTACTCCAATCAACTTTTAAAAGTTCTTGTCTCATACCATTAAAATTTGACTCACTCCAATTAAGAACTTTAACTTTTATGGAAGGCTTATCCTTTTCCATAACTATTTTAAAGCTAATAGAATTATGATCTCCAGTCCAAAAATGTTCTCCTACTAACACTTCAGTCACTTGCCCTGCCTTATTTCCCAACAGAAGGTCAAGTTTTGTTCCTTCTCAACCCTCCAAAATATCTGGGTGTTTCTAATTCTGGCCTCTTCTATATTTCCAATTATCACCTTTCTGCTATTGGTGACAGTGCTTCCTTCAAACTCTGTAATTCCCTCTCTGCACATCTCTGCTGCTGTCCCTAGCTTTAAGACACTTCTTAAACCCTACCTCTTTGGCCAGCCATTTAGCCATCTGACCCAATGTAGGTTCAGGTGGGATTTAATACCCTCGCTGTGGTAGGGTTGGAGATGGAAATGTCGTAGTAGGGTTACATGCCTTTCCTTCTCTGCCTGGATTGAATCCATGAAAGGTATTCATTCCTTCCCTGCCTGAAATTGAGACTTTTCTATTGGAAATAAATGTGCACATAAGGGCATCATTCCACCACCACAGTTTTTAACGCAACAGACACTGGGGGACTTGCCTGCGGAAAGTCTGAGGAACAAAACCTATTGAGGTTGCCAGTGGATTGCTGGTAGGGGATGGTCCCTTGTTCAAGGGCACCTGTTTGAGGGACCCAGCATTAACAAGGGTGGAGTTGCTGAAAGACACTCTCGTCCCCTCTTCCACATACCTCAACGTGTGATCCCGTTCTAAAGCCTGAACCCTATGATGATCCTAGCCCTTGAGCATGTGCATTTCTGGCAGCAGCAACCACTTCCCTTGTGGAACAGCTGATGTAGGAGCAGAAGTATGCCAAATCTGTTCCACCATCCAATCAGATCATTGCTGATCTGATAATCCTCAACATATCTTTCCTGCCTTATCCCTATAATGTCCGATTCCTTTACAGATTAAAAATCTGTTTCCCTCAGCCTTGAATATACTTAATAACCCAGCTACAATAGCCTTTAGTGGTAAGGAATTCCACAGATTGATGATAGAGAAAAAAACAATCCTCCTCGACTCTGTCTTAAATGAGGAGCCCATATTGTGAAATTATACCCTCTGGTCCTAGGCTCTCCCACAAGGGGAAACAACCTCTCTGCATCTACCTTGTCAAGTTCCAAAATAATATTTTTCAACAAAGTTTCCTCTCATTCTTCTAAATGCCAATAAGTACAAGCCAAATCTACTCAACCACTCCACATGAGAAAATCCCTTCATACCCAGAACCAATTTAGTGACAATTCTCTGGTCTGCTTCTAATGCAAGTTTATCTTTCCTTAGGTAAGGGGCCAAAACTATTCACAGTATTTCACATGTGGTCTGACTAGTACCTTGCTTAGTTTTAGCAATCCTTCCCTAATCTACACTCCATTTCCCTTGAAATAAAGGCCTATAGACTATTTGCCTTTCCTATTATCCACTGAACTCGAATGCAACCTTTCCATGATTTGTGCACAAGAACTCTCAGATCACCCTCTTCTGTAGCTTCCTTCAGTCCTTCCCCATTTAACTAATATTCAACTTCACTATTCTTCCTGCCAACATGTAGAACCTCATACTTTTGCACATTATTTTCCACCTGCCAAAATTTCTTCCACTCACTTGTCTATATTCCTCTGCAGACTCTTTGTGTCATCCTTACGACTTGCCTCCCCATCTATTTTTTGTGACATCCATAAATTTTGCGAGAATATATCACTTACCTCAGCCAAGTCATTAACATACATTGTAAATAGTTGTGGCCCCAGCACTGATCCTGCAGCACTTCACCAGTTACATGTTTCCACCCTGAAAAAGTCCCCTTTATTCCAACTCTCTACTTCTATTAGTTAGCCAATCCTCTATCCATGATAATATACTATCTCCAACATCATGGGCTCTTATTTTATTATGTGTGGTACCTTATCAAACCCTTTGGACAATGAAGAACTGCTGGATTCTCCTTGTGGCTTCAGCACTAAGATCTGGACCCAGGAAAGGTCCACTTCTGCCCAGTTATGTGTGCAATTGGCCCTTAATGAAGTGGGATCATTTAAGTGCGTCACTTTAGTTTACATAGTTTTCTCATTGTTGCTCGATTGCCTGACTATTAACTGAAGAAAATATCCTCTCAACAAATTAATTATTCTATAAAATGTTAAATCAGAATGCGTTAGTTTCTTTACATATTTATAAACTTAAGTCTTTAATGCAAGTAATTTTCATTGTTCTGAGGAAGGGTCACTGGACCTGAAACGTTAACTCTGCTTTTTCCTTCACAGCTGCTGCCAGATCTGCTGAGCTTTTCCAACAACTTTGTTTTTGTTCCTGATTTACAGCATCCACAGTTCTTTCGGTTTTTAATTTTCATTGTTACACCATTTCACAAATCAAATCAAAATGTAAACATTTCAGCATTATGTTTCACATGGCTGTATGCAACTGAATATAAAATTAAAGTTTGTCTTAATTTGCAAGGTATGTTTAATTCCTAACTTTAAAACAGAATCACAAAATTATTAGAGATAGTAAGAACTGCTTATACTGGAGTCAGAGATAACACAGTGAGGATCTGGAGGAACATAGCAGGCCAGGCAGCATCAGAGGAGTAGGAAAACTGACGTTTTGGGTCAGGACCCTTCTTCAGAAGACCCTTCAGACCCTATGTAGACCCTTAGAAGAAGGGTCTTGACCCGAAATGTCAGCTTTCCTGCTCCTCTGATGCTGCCTGGCCTGCTGTGTTCCTCCAGCTCCACACTGTGTTATCACAAAATTATTAACTTTGTCTACTAAAAGCAGAAAATAATTGTTATCTTTCTATTCTACAGAAGTCTGGAGCAATGAAATGGTAGACAACTTACATCATGTCCTCTGAGCCCACTGCCCAAAGCATACTGTTTAGTGTCCTCTAGATATCGTATCTGAATGCTGTAAACTTTAAATCTGTAATATACCACCAACACATATGGCTTATCGGGGTATCCTTTAGAACTATCTCTCACCAGGAAAGTGCCATTCTAAGTGAAAAGAAAAGAAGCTATTATTGAATCAGAAATAAAAAGTGTACAAATCTCTATGCCTCTGACTAATTATATAGCAAACTCTTCATGAATACTAGTATCTAGAAATAATTTTCAGAATGGAATAACTTTCTAAAATGTAAACAGAACATTATATTAGATAAGCATGTGAGAACTTTGATAACTTCTGAAAACATCGAAAGATTTGGGAAGATATTTGATTTCAGTAAGAATGTGATATATCAAATGCCTGAAGCAAAATAACTTCATTGGAATTATTTTGTAAGTGAGAATTGATTACCTTATTGTTTAACCTTAAAGCCTCCTCTATGTTATAACGGTCACAGGCACCAATATACCATTCCTGTCCTTCTAAATCCTGAAATATGTTCAGAACGTAAATGATGAGAAACCCATTAAGCAACAAGGTATAACATTTCAAATGACTGAGAACAACAATGCTCAAAACAATCAGCAGCAGCAAGATGTGGACAGTGAGCAGTCCAGAGTATCTTGTCCAGCTGCTTGTGTCTGCTCCAGTTGAAACAAGTTTCCTAATACCACATGAAGAGCTGAATTTGAGGTTGAATTCACCTGCAGTTCATTCCAGCATGCACTTTATTACCAACCAAATTATAGATATTTTGCCCATCAACCTGCTCAGAAGCATTAATACACACCTTTGGAGTGGGTGGCACTATGTATCCAGGTCACCTGGCTCATGGATAGAGATACTACAACTGTACCATAAGAGCTTCTAAGCCAACCAAATTATATACTTGATCTGACACTGACATAAAGCACTCCAGTCAATCCCTACAGCATGGAAAGAGGCCATTTGGCCCATCAACCTTCTGAAGGGTATCCCATCCAGACCTAGCTCCTGAACCTATCTCTGCAATCTTGTATTTACCATGGCTAATCCATCTAGCCTGCAAATCACTGGACACTAGGGGGCAATTTAGCACAGCTAATTCACCTAACCTGCACATCTCTGGACTGAGAGAGGAATCTGGTGCATCTGGAGGAAAAGCACACAGACACAGGGTGAACATACAACTTTCAGACAGATAGTCACCCAAGGCTGGAATTGAACCCGGGTCCCTGGTACGGTGAGGCAGCAGTGCTAACCACTGAGCCACCGTGCCACCCATGAGTAGGTTAGATGCTGTGGAAGTCTGAACACACTTAGTCATGGTGACAGTGGCCTCATGTCTAACCATTCTCTTTCTTGAATGATTTATTCCACTGAGCAGCACTGTTCTTATGACTAACTATATAATTTAGTTATAATTTGATTACTTCCCCTAATTTCTTAAACACCACAATGTGTGTTTGGGTTTGGGTTGCAGTGGAACCTCAGACCTCAGTGTTTCATTCCAGTTGCCATTCTTGATTTCTGAGTCTTTATAAGAAACATTGGGGTTGCATTTCCCTGTGGAGGATAATGGTCAATGCTCTGCTTTACCCATGATCACACACACAATGTAACAGGGGATATTTTACAGTGACTCTTACTGGGATTCGAGGTGACTGATCCTATTATGAACAAAGAGTTGAATTACTGTTTCTCTACTCTGTTCTGACTAGAATAGCATAGACAGATGAAGCTCTCCCTTTGTGTGTGTCAGCAACAATCAGTTGCTGTATTTGCTCTCCCAACATTGAAGAAACCATTGCTTATTTTTTTTTTTAGAAAGAAAACATTTCTGTGTAGACACTGCAGAGGCAGTCTGAACAAATTCTGCTTTTGCCAAGCAACCTCACCCACCAGGATCAGGTGTAGGAAAAAAATCTCATTCCGGCAATGACAGTCAACAAGGCCCCCACTTTCTAGAAAGGCCTGTCAGTAGTAAGTGCTGCTCAGACATGTCAAGCCAGGATCAGGAGCCTGGAGTTTGAAGACCAGCCTGCTGAGAGTTTCTGATCAATCAAAGGTCAGTCACTCCTTTGAATGGCAATGCTGCAATGGAGGTGGTGGCTACTGCCAGAACGACAACCACCCGAGATGCAGGCCACAGCAGAGTAATAACAGAAGGATGTTTGCGGGGCAGGGGTGGGTTTAGGGGAGGCAGCAACAAGGGAATGCGTTCATCTCTGAGTGCTCCATGATCCCCCAGTCACACAGAGTGCTTCGAATGGAGACAACAGCCCAGGAAGCCTTCATGCAAACATACCAAGATTTATTTGTCATGTATATCACATGCTGGGCCCCTGACAATAGGTCAATACTAGTGGCAGAGGGCTCAGGCCCTCTAAGTAGCCATTGATTGGTCAGTTAAGGGCCTCATATGGTGGCAGGACTAGAGGTCTTTTCACCACAGACTTAATCGAGGTGGAGATAGGAAGGTAGTGAGGTGCAACCTGATTAAATGCCTTCCCACTGTTGAGTTTACCAGGGGAAGGATGTGTGATTCTGCCCCTCAATGTGTCCCACCTTGCCTTTCTTCCAATTAATTTAATATATGAATAGATTTAATTCTTAAATTTGAGCTGTAATATTGACACCTTACAAACATATTGTATCAGCTGCTGTATGTACTTAGGATTTCAAATCACGCAGATGCAAAAACAAACAAATCCCATTTATTTCTAAATTTGAATCTAAATCAATTTAAATATTTTACTATACCTTTGCAGCAGGTCTGGATAAATGTTTGGGGTTTTGTCGATCAGGACTAGACTGAGGTTTTAGTCTTGTGGGTGGATCGTGACATATCATTTCTGAAGAAAAGTAGAAGTTTTTGTAATAGAGAGGAATTTAACGTTAATATATATCTAATATAATTTACAAGTAATTCTCATTTTTTGTAGTTGATTTATGTTTAACTTTTACTTGATAATTATAAAGAGAACCCTACAAAATGTTTCCCACATGTCTTGAGACTGAATATAATTTCCAAAACCTATACTGGATTCAATAAATATTTAATCACTGACAAATGCAGATAAATACCTGGTATCTGTGATATTTGATGTAACGAGCTAGTATAGAAAAGAAAAATGAATTAGAAGCAAAGAAAAAGTGAAAGTTTTCTATATAACCAACTCAACCTTTAATCATGTGGCAAATGTTTCTGAAATAAGGATCAGAAATGAATTGAAATTGCTGATACCATAATTTGCCACCACAATCACCGTTAAGCTTTTGGTGGAATTTTTACAAGTGAGACAGCGTCCAGATTACTGCATAGGGCTTTGGTCTCCAAATCTGAGGAAAGATGTTCTTATCTCTGACTGAATACAGTGTAAGTTCACTAGGTTCACTCCTGACATGAGGTCATTATTTTGATGAAGAATTTGAGCAGGTAATGTCTATATTTTCTGTAGTTTAGGAGAATGAAATGTTTTCTACTTAAACAGAGAAAATTCTTCAGGGACTTGATAGGATAAATACTTTCTCTGAAAGGATAACCCAAGAACGAGGAGTTACAAGTGGGGGTGTTCACTGATGATTGCACAATGTTCAGCACCACTTGCAACATCTCAGACACTGAAGCAATCCATGTTTAAATGCAAAAAGATCTGGGCCATATCCAAGCTTGGGCTGATAAATGGCAAGTAAAACTTGTGCCACAGAAATGTCAGGCTATGAGACAATCTAACCACTGTCCCTTGACATTCAATGGTGTTACCATAACCGAATCCTGCACTATCAACATCCTGGGGGTTACCATTGACTGGAAAATCAATTGGACTCACCAGGTAAATACAGTGGCTACAAGGGCAGGTCACATACATCCTGTAACATACATCCTGACTCCCCAAATACTGCCCAACATCTACATGGTACAAGTCAGGAGTGTGATGGAACATGCTCCATTTGCCTGGATGAAGCTCCAACAACGCTCAAGAAACTACAAGATGCACTGCAGAAATTCACCAAAGATCCTCAGACAGCACCTTCCAAACTCACAACCTCTTCCATATAGAAGGACATGGCAGCAGATATATGGGAAAACCACCACTTTCAAACTCCCCTCCAAGCTACTCCCCATTCTGACTTAGAAATATCTCACTGTTCCATCACTGTTACTGGGTCAAAATCCTGGAATTCCCTCTCTCAGGCTATTATGGGTCAACCTACAGCATGTAGTGGTTCAAGAAGGCAGCTCACCATTACCTTCTCAAGTGCAGCTAGGGACAGATAATAAAAATGCTGGGCAGCCAGTGATGCTCACATCCCACAAATGAATGAAAAAAATACAATCTCAGAATAAAGGACTGTCCATTTTGGACTAAGATGAGGTAAATCTCTTCACTCGAGAGCTTGTGAATCTCTAGAATGCTCTACCTCAGAAAACTGTGAATGCACCATTGTTCAACAGATTCAAGACAGTAGTCAGTAGGCTTTGGGTACTGAGGAGATTCAGGGATATGGCTTGTAGAAGGAAGTGGAAGTGAGGTGAAAATTAACCATGATCTTACTCAATGCAGGCTTGAAGAGCTGAATGGCCTTCTTCAGCTCCTATTTCTTATGTCATGTTCACTTCACTTACGCACAAGTGGAATAGAATAGTCAGGCAAAGGATCGATATGCACCTAAATTCAAATATCCCCAAATTCTTGTCTGAGTTGTGTTGCTCTTTGTGCAATTGGCATTTGTTATTAAGCTTGCTATTGAAATGCAATGAGCTGTGATGAGTTGCTGTAATTGCACGGGAGATGTCAACAGCATTATAGAAAACTAAGTATTGTCCATTTTAGTCAGGCATCTTCTGAATGATGTTATATCTTTATTTTTGCCAGTCAACTTCTCTGGCACTGAAAATGTATGATTGCAATTGTGGGGACTTGTCTCTATTTTTTAATTGATGTGGGCGATTCAATATGTTAGATTTAAAATTTTATCTTGCAAGTTAAAATTTTATCTCTAGAGTTTGACAAAGGAGGCTGAATTTTTGGTAACAATGGTGCTGAATGTTGGGATGCTTACCACTCTTGCACTTCAGGGTCCATTGAAAATCCTGACCCGTGCATATGTGCAGTAATTGTCCCGGAAGTTTGAACTTGTGATGGGTTGGTTTACACTGTCTGAGACAAAATGAGAATTTCTCCAACACTCAGCTAAGGTTTGGAGACTTAAGCCAGCTGCACAATCTTTACCTGGATATTTATCCCAGTATTGTCATGTTGTTTAATTTCTGGCATAACTCAGTGATTAACACTATAACCCTATCCACCAGCCCTCACATTCTCAAGCATCCCTCCATCTCCTATTGATTACTATATCACTATCAGAATATCTACCATCCCAATCCCCTGATCTGACTAGCCAATCCCCCACAGCCTGACAAGCCATCTGCACACTGCCAAACACTCCCAAACTCGCCCATACATCTGCCTACTGATCCATGCATTATCTTAGCCATCCATTCGCTGACCCACACTCACCTGCCCGCTCATTCTGCTGAATCCCTGAAGACTGTTACAAACTGACATAAGCACAGCAGTTGGTACCATTAAAAGGGGTCATAGCCTCTGCACTGCTGCTCTAACCCTAACCCTAACCCTAACCCTAACCCTAAGCCTCTGCCCTGCTGCTCTTCTCAATTCCTCCCTGTGGATGGCTGTCTGGAAGCATCACTGAGATAGCCAGCACAGGAAGACCCAGCTGCAAGCACGCATGAAGACTAAGGTGCAATTATCTTTGCAGTCAGCAATAATCACCCTTGAATCACCACTGACTGTAAGATCTGGAACTTTTATTTTTTGAATCTTTCGTTTGTCTATATTTCTGTTTTATCAATCTTACTCCAATCTTTCTTTCCCTCTCTTTGATTCTTTTTGTGCACATGATTTGAAATTGAATTCATCTACTCTAATTCATTCTCTTTCTTGGTTATTGCATTGTTGAGAAGATGTGGTAATCACTCAAGTTCCCGATACCCTGTTCCCCTCACTGTAATGCTATCAGTGTGTACTTTCAGTACTTCTGTTCCATCTGGCTCTACAGAAACCATTTTGTTAAGAATTTTAAGCTTTCAAACTTACTTTTCTTTGGTGGCTGCAAGGGCTAACCAACGTCATCTACCTAAATGTACGGCTAAATTAAAAAGAAACAGCAGTCAGTTCAACGACTGCATAGCTTTTGACACAGGCTGCCACACAGTTAAACTGAATTTGAAGTAACCACGCTTTCGGTTGTTCAGTTCAGAACTACTTCTGAAGAGGAGTCATACCGGACTTGAAACACTAACTCTATTCTCTCTGCACAGAAGCTGCCAGACCTGTTGAGTTTCTCGAACATTCTCTGGGTTGTATCAGATTTCTAGATTCCACAATGCTTTGCTTTAATATTGAAATTGATATGCTTGACATCAGTTTTACACCAGAGGTACAAGGACAGCACATACCAATCTCTACTTTAGATTGCAAAGCTCCTTAAAGACAAAACAGATTTGTGACTAAATATTCAATTGTACCTTTCTGGTGGTGGGCTTTTGGAAATAGGTCTAAATGGCAATGATTGCTGCTTGTTCACTGGTAGAAGTATGTCACGTGACCTTCGGAAATCAGTACCTGGAGAAGTAATTTTAAAATAATAGACATCTTAAGAATTGTGAAGATTACATCCTCAGTTCGTTTATGCACATATGTATTTAGTGTTTTATTGGTATTCTTCCAAGCTGCTTTGCATGTTGTGTGACATGAGATAAAGGAGCAATGCACTCAGCAATGTTTTTAAAATTTTTTAAAATTGATTTTCAAATTTATCTGACTCCTCCTGATCCATGTACAACTTTTCAGTTAGAAAAAGGCCAGCTGGAAGACTGCTTCCTGCTATGCATCCAACTTGTTTTGGAGTCAAGAACTGGCATTAATCTGTGTGTTGACAATAATGATGTATCTTTAAATTCTGCTTTCTTCTTGCACGGCGAATGCCTTGCCTATATTTCAGCACTGTATTTTTCTATTGAACAGGAACTAGCCATTTTCTGGGACAACAGTCTGCAAACTCGTATCATAACATTTGTTCCCCAGTCTATCTCTTTACAACTTGTGGACCAATTTTATTTCTCTGCAATTTCTCCTACTTCCATAATTATCAGTCACACAATTAACGTGTGAGTATTGACAAGGGTAGCTATAGGCCAGTGACTAAGAGGGTGTTACAGTGGAGCATAACACATCCTCATACAATATACATTGCAAAGTTGGTATGTTTTTCAATTCTCTGAGACACCACTAGATGGAACAATTTACAACACTTTCTCTGTTTCCAAACTTGAAAACAATGTAACAAAAAGAGACAACAAGGTGCAGGGCTGGATGAACACAGCAGGCCAAGCAGCATCATAGGAGCAGTAAGGCTGACGTTTCGGGCTTAGACCCTTCAAAAAGAATTGACCGGAGACCAGCTATGGTAAATGACAGAGAACTTTTGAACTTTTGTGTTGTTACATCCAGCTCCGAACAAGGTTCCCCAATTTGTTATTGTTTGTGCAGTACCCAGGTGAGGAGGGATGAACTGGCTTTACTTTTTTTATTCATCCACCTTCTCATTTGAATGCAACAAAGTTAATTTAAAAATGGATCACTTCATTTGTTAATTTCCTTTTCCCAGATCCAAAGAAACTTTTGAAAGAAGCTAATTTATTTGGGCTTTCTTGAGTTAACAAAGTGCGAATTTATTAATAGCAAAACACAGAAAACATAGGTATAATAAAAACATAGATAGAAGTGAGTCTGAAAAGATAAAAGTTAAAAGAATACAGATATATAGAATAGTCCCTGACTTGTTTGTGAAGAATGGATAGTTGGACACCAGCATTCAGGCTGAAGGAGGGTCCCTTTGTCACCCTGTTTTCTTTTGCCTGGATTGCTAGCTAGTTGGCTGCTAACAGTCAGACCGAGAGAATAAATTTTACCTCCAACACAAGTGCCTAGAGGATTTGTTTTTTTTTGACTGTGAAGGTCACAGCATGCTAACACTTGAACTTAGGTGAGCACACACACAAGAACTTAGTCCCACTAGTCCGTATGAGAATGGTCAGACCCACTAGTGCACCCCAGTCAAGTTGAAACAAATATTTTAAACCTCGTCCTTGTGCATTTGTTAGAGGAATAAGCATAAAATCCATCCGCAGTTTGGAACTAACCGCAGGGAATGGCTTGCAGTTGATCAGGGGTTGTCATCCCTTTGATAACTTTGTAGTCACATGAGTCTACAGTATAGTCTATTTTCAGCTTGAAGGGTCATTTGAAATTCTTCTTGCGTCTTAAGTGTGACATTCTGAGTCTCCAGACAGCAACATAATTTACATCTGCATATATTTTTGATCGAATCAGATCTCTTATAAAAAATACAAAATACAAGTTAACAATTCCCATAATACTTTGGGGTTCTGACCCATGATCATGGCATGTCCCTGACATGATGAATGAAATGAGACTAATTTTAATTTATTGCAAAGGATGAAAAATGTAAAATTTTGCCACAATAAATTCACATACACACAGACACATACACACCCACACACAAATTTATTCTCTAAGCCTCAGGCAAAGTTATCTTTTCAGTTCCAACTGGGTTTCTCTGAGTTCTGGACAGGTTGTCTTCATTCATATTTCATTATCTGTCAAAGTGGGTGATTTACAGGTGGTATGTTTGAAAGAATAAACTCCAACAGAATAACCTGGGTCCTGAGCCTTATGCTTTTCCATAAAAGTTAATGGGTTCTGGTCTGGATAGACTGTAGTCCTACATGTATCTTAAAGTATTTGAGAGGTACTAGTAAAACAAGAGTATCCATTTTTGTTTTGCTATGGGAATAACTTCTGATGTTTATCTAGTTTTTTTTTCATGTTTTTTAAGTTTTTTGATTGATCTTTCTATTCCCTAAAAGAGGACAGCCATTAACCCTTTGTCATTCACATTGATAACTATATAAAATGCTTATTTAAAGTTTGGATCTTCAAGAACAAGTTTGCTTATTAAAATCGCCTTAGCTTTTCAAAGGCAGTTGGTCATTTTCAGTCTATGCCACCTTTGCTTTTTTCTGTATTGAAGTTTGGGATGAACATTTGGTTTAATCCACACTTTCCCAAGAACCTCATGATTTCCTGGTTTGTTGTGGGCAAAGGAAACAGTGTTACTCCTTCTACCTTTGCAGCCATGGGCTATACTCATCAATACATGACCTAATGAGATCACTTGAGCCTTAGCAAACTCACTCTTTGTGTAGGATAGCAATGTATTGTTACATGTATTTATGAAAATACAGTAAAATTTATATAAGTCGCCATAATTAATCTGGCGCCATTTTAATTACATAAATTACAAAAGAAATAATGCATTTAAAGTTAACACAAATTTCATTTTTTGTTCCATCCATGGCTTCTTGATTTTTTAAGAGGCTAGGGGAAACAGCCACATTCATAGCCGCCAAGGCTGTCCCTGATGTTGCAAGGAGGAAGCACGCTGAAGCAACCCCCACTACCATGGACTGGATCCAGAATGTCATCTCTGCCAAAGCCACTACTGATACTCCAGCCACTGCCATAGCCTGGAGACTGCCCCAGCTCTCAAGGACTGGGCGCTATTTTCAAATTCTGAGGATAGACAGGATTGTCCAAATTAACTCCCGATGACTAAGGGATCATTTAATCCGCCTACGTTACAGACGTAGCCGAAACACGAGAGGAAAGGAATGGACACCAATTCATCAACGCTGAAGCTGTTGCTCAAGCTGTGACTGCCAGGGCCATGAGGAATGGACCAGATCGACCACTCAACAGCTCCCCGCAACCTCTCCGCACCACGGCAGCCGCAGAAGGAAGGAAAGATGAATTTGATTCAAAAGTTAAATGAAGAAAATAATATAAAATTAAGAAGGATGCAGTTGGTCATGTAAGAGGGAGTGGTCTGGCCCCGGAGCCCAGACAGCTACCCTGCCATCTCTGCCATCTTGTGAGATAGACCATGAGGTCAGCTGACTGTACTTTCTGGGAGAAGGCTTCCAATTGCTCAAATTACATTTACCAGGTGACACTATACAGTCAGAGGTTGCCCGGGTACACAATGCAATTTGATAAACCTGACACTATCTGGCTTATCAAACTTGGAAATGTGGCTGGGGCATTTCCACGTCTGAATGATATGATTCAGCATTGGTATAACCCATCCAGAGTTACAAAGGAGGAAATACCCTTCACAGGCATATATTCATCAGCTTGTGTTTTAGAAGAAACTTAAATCTAAATTGAATTATTCTTTGTATGTCAATTGAAACAATTTATTTTCACTTCTTCAACACATACCATAAAATATAATTTTAAAACTCTTTAGTAATGATGTTGTACAGATTTTTATGTTATTGTAGAATGACATATGTTTCTGATATTTTAGAAAACAAAATATTGGCAAATACGTTGTATTCACTTTTCAACATTCAAGTGTTACTTTTCTTTGTAATGTACCTACCATTTTTTTGTGTGATTGCCTGTTGATGAAGAAAACAAGACAAAATGAAATTGTAGCTATTATCTTTGTTTCTAAGTAAACATTAAAAGAAATGATCTGCGAGTGCTTTTATTAAATTCAAGCGGCAAACCTATAATTCAGAAACTGAAGAAAATAAAATGATGTTTACTGCTAAAGTTTGAAAAGTTGAGAGGAAATAAAAGAAAGGATGTATGAATAACACAAACCTCACTTTGTTTGCTCTTTGGTAATCTGTAAAAAAAAGTGAATTATTAGTTAACATTGAACAATTGTATTTGCTAAACTGCTGCTGTAACATTTTTCTTCAGGTCATAAACCAGTTAGCTAACTTCGTAGCATACTTAAATTAACACACCCAACGTTGTTTTCAGGCTGTGTTATTGATGGCTTGTTCATAGAGTGTAGGATATTGTCAGGTCCCGAGAAACTATGTGCGTGACTTGGTTCTGGAGGAAGTTCTTTGAATTCTTTGGGAATACTCCTAGGAGGTCTAGAATTACACAAAATAATTTATTGAAAAAAAAATTACAAACCGTGACAAACATTTCATCATAACTTGCAACTAGTAACTTATAAATTTAATATGGAATTGAAAAAAAATGTTATGCCTGAATAAACATTCAAACCTCCTGTAATCATGGTCTACTTTTGTTTCTAGTACCTCCAGAACATTTTTATAGGAATCCAAGTGTAATATTCTTTCTCACATGATGTTGCTTCAAAATTGATGATCTACCAATGTAAACTTTCTTTCTCACAATGATATTTACAAATCAACTTTAAAAATCTAAAAATGTCGGTTGTAACTTCTACCCAGTGAATAACTCAGCCCAAGCCATAGTTGTAATGATGGGAACATTGTGCAATAACTCCCAAGATGCGCAGCTAACTTTTGAGGTATGGTGTCAGCTCTTCAAATACCTTTAAAGGAGTTTTGGATGTGCAAACTATCTTCATAATTTTTCCACTTCAATTTTATTGCCCAGGTACAGAAATAATAGTAATAAAGTAATAATAATAAAGTACAACTTTCCTACTGAAAAACTTAATTGAGTGACATTAAAGTTGGCCAATTTTCAAAAACCTGTCATCACTGTTAAATGATTGTTGCAATCAAAATAACTTCAAACCATTTAAAATGATAATCTAAAACAAGTGAGTCATGGCACGGAAGAATGGTGACTCTGTTGCAGCAGCGGTGGTGTGGCAACGGATCTCAAGGTTGGCCGACTGCTTCGTGCTGGTGTTAGCCACAGTATCGGGGTGGAAGAGCCCGGATCCTGGCCCATGGCTAAGCTCTTAACAAGAAGGACTGTAAAGTTGAACTTTTAACTTTATTTCCTTTTTTTCGACCTTTATATTCTATGCCTTGGTTTAAGATGGCCCTGGAGAGCGGTGACATTATACAACACTTTTCACTGTATTTGTAACAAACACATGTAACAAGTACATGTGATAATAAATAAATCAAATAAATCACTTCCAGCTTGGTGGAATTAACATGTATTGTTAATCATAATTGGGTCAGCTATTCTCAGAACTAGGTTCTGCTGTGTTTACAATAAGACAATCCATTAGTCTTGATACTCATGAACAGTATCTTCCATGTTGTTGTCTATGAAAGACCAAACATATGCACATTAGCAGAACTTTTCATTCTAGCAATACGAGGAGGCTTGCACATCATGAATCACAGGGTTCTAGAATTCAGGCACAGGAACAAAGTCCAGAAAGTAATCTTATTTTCAATTGATGACTATTATACGATTGTAGTTCAGTTAGGAAAACCCTATCATGTGGAAAGCCATTCACCATATTGAACAGAGCCATGTCTATCATTGATCATGATGGGAAGTGAGTACCTCCGCTCAATAAAAAGAAATTGTGATGATCAAAGCTTTAAGGATACATGGAAGTGTGCATATAAGAGTGATGCATGTGGGTGGGACAAACAAAAAACCTACACTGGCATTTAATTTAATCTTAATAGCATATTTAAAAGCCAATAACTAAATAACCTGCTTTTGAATTCTCACTGATGCTAAAACAGATGTTTCATAATTCCAAGAGAATATGACAGCTAAGTACTAAAGATCTGAGTCAATAACAAACAATGTCTGAAATGATGTGCATTTATTTTTACTTTTACAAGCGTTTCCAATGCGGTAAATAATCGTCATCAGAAGAAATTAGTACGGAGGTGGTGAATACTATTGCTTGATTCAAGGAGACAGGATGATGGCCAATCTCCCGTACCAAATTGGCATTCAGCAACAGACAAAATCAGTGGGAAGTTAAGGTTTTACTGTTACAGCTATTTTGCACTTGCTATTAAAATTTTACATGACATGCTATTTAATGGAAATGAGACATGTTTGAAAGAAAGTTCTGGTAATCAATGGCTAGACACAGAAATGATTGCATCTCTTGTTTGTTGTAGCATGGAAAGAGATCATTGCTTCAACCTTCTTCTTTGTTGGTTGAATACCAAGCTTGTTAACAATGAAAGAACGAAATAAAACTCTAGGGAACACTATAGCAGCGAGCAAATGAACTACTTTATTCAGAGATCACATTCATATAAATGCTGAAAATTGCTTTGAGATTTTTGCAGATGTTTTGACACTTGTCTTCCAGTAACAGGAGCTGGTCCAAGATTCACTGAGTTCCGTGGAGATATATACTAATTGTCTCCTCAGCTTTTGGAAATATGTGTTTAACAGATGCTCAACCAAAATGCAGCTTTTGTGTGAAGTCTTTGCTGTGTTTTTGTCGTTGCAGAGTGTAAACATCCTTCAGGACACTGCAACTGAAAGCAAGCCTGGTAAAATTCTTTTGAAGCAATCTAATTTCGAAAATAAAATCAAAAATTACAAATGCTGAAACAAAAACAGAAATTGCTGGAGAAACCCAACAGATCTGATAGCATCTGTGGGGAATTCTGAAGAAAGGACACTGGACTTGAAACATTAACTGTTTGCTTTCTATAGATGCTGCCAGACCTGCTGAGTTTCTCCAGCATTTTCAGTTTTTATTTAGAAAATTGTTGAGTGCCAATGAGATTGGCAAACCCTACAGCTCTGGGCAGATGCCTATCATTGATCATGATATTTTCTGTGCTAAATTTCTGATTGAATAATAACATATATTTTTCTCTGAGGATCTCCATAATTCATGAAGTGGGATTCATACAACTGCCTCAATTTAACCTCAGGCTACAAAACTAAATCAATGGAAGAATTAGGCAGAATATTTCCAGCCCCTGAAGAATGTGGGCACCGATGTGAAAATTGGGATAATTTCTTCAGATGGGCAAAGAGGAGTTGCCTATCATCAAGGGCTAAATCCAACCAAGTGTTGAACAGTGAGATGAGACTCTCACCAGTGAGCAGCGAGAGGTATATTTGTATGTATTACTATGAATTAACATCCTTGTTATTACATCATCATCTACTAACACTGAAATGCAGTTTCCCATTCTTCCACCCTTTGGATTGAAACTAGATGCTAACAATTTGCAGAATGAAAGTTGGAGTGGTACCTTGGGTGACTCCAGATCACTACTCATTCCTCCAGACCTCCATCAGTCACCAAAATCCCAGAGCACTTTTCACGTGCAGTGAATGCCTGTAGCCCCTCTTCAGCATTACCAGGTCCGATATGACCAGGGCAAGCTGCAGATTGCCAGTGCTACACTGAGTGCATGGTTAAGATTTAAACATTGCAATAGCACCTGAAATCCAGGGAGGTCGTGGCAGTGGCCAATACTTCTACTTGTGGTGAGTGGGAGAATACGACAAGCAGGGTGCCATTGTGATAGTTAATGAGGTAGTTTAGGAGCAGTTTTGGTCCCCTTATTTAAGGAAAGATATTTCATTCGAGTACAGGGTAGATTCATAAAGATAATCCCTGGTGCGGATGAATTGTCTTATGAACAAAAGCTAAACAGGTTGGGCGTCTACTCATTAGAGTTTAGAAGAATGAGAGGTGATCTTATTGAAGCATATAGGATTCTTAAGGGGCTTGACAGGGTAAGTGCTAAGAGGACATTTCCACTCATGGGAGAGTCTAGGACCAGAGGGCATAGTCTCAGAATAAAAGGGTACCAATTTATGACTTAGATGAGGAGGAATTTCTCCTCTCAAAGTGTTGTGAGTCTTTGGAATTCCTTGCCCCAGAACGCTGTGTGGACAGAGTCCTTGTTTGTATTTAAAGCTGAGATAGATAAATTCTGAGGGGAATCACAGGTTATGGAGAAAGTGGATATGAGATCAGCCACGGTCTTATTGAGTGAAGAAGCAGGCTTGATGGGCCGAATGGCCTACCCCATTCCTATTTGTTATGGTCCTATGGGAAGATCATGTAAGAAAACTCACTGGGGTTCATGGATAGAAATGCTTCATGAAACCTGCCGAAAATGACACCTAGCCGATTTCTGGTGACATTCAGCTCATAGAAATACGGGAGCAGGGGTAGGCCATTCAACCCTTCGAATTTGCTCCATCATTCCATACCAGGGCTGATCATCGATCTCAACGTCATTATTCACTCGATGCCATTAATGAGGAATCTTTACCTAGTAACTTCATTTACAAACTGTTTTTGTCTGAAATTCATTTCTTACTTAGACTAATTTTTCCACACACTGCAATGAGTTCTCAGAATAAACAAAATATTCATTTTTGGATGATAATTTTCTGATATTTTTCATTGTGTTAGCGTAATAGTTACTGCAACTCCAATATTCAATTCCATGTTAATATTTTCCATTCAAGCAGGTTTAATGATTTCATGTTGGCCCTTGCCCTTATAAGAATTGACAGGAAAATCCAATTATAATACTTGTTCATTTTACACAAACAGCAGTCTGGACAATGATTTTCTTTATCAACCACAGCACCCGCATAGTTCATTTTTTGTTTACTCGTGGCCATTAGTTCCTGTGATATACCTGAAAGCAGTCTCCAGTACAGTTGCTGCTTCAAGAGTTTTCACAGAAGTGAGTCAGTCATCAAGTTTCCTCTTTATGATGCTACCTTCAATCCCCAAATTATTGTACAGTTGCAAAATCCACCGAAGTTACATGTTTCAGACAGTTTTCTCCTTTCTGCCAGCTGTTTGCTTTCTCTACAATGTCCCATAGTAACAACTGCCACTACCTCAGATGTACTTTGATCACATAGACTAATTTCTCATATGTTTGGTCCTTCCCACTTTAACAGAAATAAGTTGCTGTCTTAATATAGATTTTGCATTACAGATTGTAAGAAAAGCATTTTTTTTTGTACCTACTGCATGTGAGCTTGTGGAGAATAAAAGTTAATTAAAGATGTTTTGCAGGAAGTGTTGTAAAGAACTTTGATGAGGCTGCACGTACAATATTGTATAAAATTTTGGTCTCTTTATCTAAAGAAGAATATATTTGCCACACAGGGAGTGCTTTCAAGGTTCACTAAACCCTGGGATTTTGG